ATGACCTTTTGCCATCTCTCTGACAACTTGAAAATTCCACGCTCCTAGAAAGTCTGATCCTTTTCGGTCAAAAACTGAGTTAAGTGAGATTTTACAGCGTCATCATCATTAAAAGTTTTACCACGAAGGGAGTTGTCCAGGGATCGAAATAAGTGGTAATTCGGTGGCGCGAGATCAGGGCTATATGGTGGGTGTAATATCAATTCCCAACCAATATCCATCAATTTTTGCCGAGTGGACAAAGACGTGTGCGGCCTAGCATTGTTCTGATGGAAAATGACACCTTTACGATTGACCAATTCTGGTCGCTTTTCCTTGATCGCTGCATTCAATTTGTCCAGTTGCTAACATTTACGGATAATAAAAAATAACATAATAATAATAATAATAATAATAATAATAATAATAATAATTTTATAATATAACATTTACGGATATCATAAAAATGGGAGTGAGAGACATCTATAACTGAAATCGGCAATTACTTAGTTGCCAACCCAACATTATAGTTGTATTCAAAACTGCAGTATGATTAAGTTCACATGTTTTACTATTTTATTAATTGATGGTCACAATATCTTTCTTTTTGGTATAAAAGCAATTAGGTTAAATAATAATATAAATTAAACTATTTAGTAATCAATCGGTTGAATCAATGTGTACAGAAAATTGTTTGACCCTCTCTATGTGTATATCATATAAACTACAGCTTTTTCACAGTGGAAGAAACATGCTACAGATTCGTTAAATAAATTATCTCAAATTGTTCAGCATGTCCATAGATTCCATGTCCTCAAGAACAGTTCAGAAGTCCGGATGCCTTTATTACACGACATTTACCGATGCTCCTATCAACATCCAGCAATTCAACTTTCTTTTCATCACTTTCTTCAGCAGTGTCCTCTTTGTCTTTCAAAGTTTCCGCAACATCATTGCATTTATCAGCTCGAACTTGTTCAGTGACATTTTGTTTAATCTGTGTTTCCGATTCTCTACTAAATTGTCCTAAGATAGGTTGTTTAAATGCCGAATCACCAGTGGACGCTACCGACATTGTCGAATACGTGAATCTAGGAACTACTATATCGTAAGAAGCACCCATGGTAAACGAATTCCACTTCTTGAGGAAAGGTTCGCATACGTCGGACATTTCTCTGATAGCTTTAACAGTTTCAGGTTTCCTTGTCTGGGACGTTTGATCTGCTTCTTGTCCGCATATGCGGAAGGTCCATGTGACCACAGCGAATGTCACAGCGTTCGTGGGGAATGCTCGAAGAATCGTTGAACTGAGGCCTCTGTACAGACAAAGGTAACCCTCGGTTTTGATCGATCGTTTAAAACAATCAACGACACCCCTGTAACGATTGTCATCGGCTTGGATTCTGGATTTGATCACGTCAAGGGGATAAGTTAGCAACCAGGAAGCGGTTCCAGCGATTCCTCCGGCTAGCAACATACGCGGTGTGGAAACTGGTTCGTTCCCAGAGGATCTTGTCATCGCTTCGTATGTCAGGAAGTAGACACCAAAACTGGGAGCTTCTCTGAGCATTGTGATATTTAAGCCTTTGAATACTCCTCGGTAACCTTCCCATTTATAAGTGTGTTTTAGGTATTGTAGAGGCCCAGAAAATTGACCACTTGACGCCTGTAGCTGGATACGAGTTTTAGCCAACTCCATCGGACTACAAATTGGACTTTGAGCAATTCCGGCTATGGTTCCGGCGATGAAATGCGATGCGAGGGAGTCTGGGTTGGTCATGTGTTTTTGTGCCTGACCGTATACACCAAAGATGATTGCATTCACCATTGCCACGCCTGCCATTGGCGATGTCATACCTCGGTAAAGGCCTGCTACCTGTAGAAGCAAATATCAGTTGAATTCTAGATTATTATTCGTTTCAGACACTCCCATTTCCAGCTCTATTCTAATTAGAATATTACGAGTCTCAACTTTTTGTATTTTCAAACATACTATTTGTATACACACGCGCATATGTACAGGGTGATACATGCAACTCGCATACCTTGACTAACTTTTTAATATAACCATCATTTGCCTTCTGCGAAACCATACAGCTTTTATATTTAACAATTTCCCATATACATACATGTAAATATACATGTTATATATTTTATTTATAAACAGATATATATTTATATTTAAAATAATGCATTATTGAAAACGTATATATATTTCTATAGTATAAAATATATAGTATCACAGAGATAGTAACAGTAATAATTTCTACACAAACGATTTGCATCAGAAAAGTTATAAACCAAATTAAATGCTGTAGAAATAATTTCTGCTATTTACAGCTAGATTATTCTACTACATAACGATAACGTTTATCTCTTTTTCTCTGTCTCACATTTTTTATTTCGAAGTTGTTGCAATTATAAAAATTTCTTTTTGATCGAATCTATATCCTAATCCAAGCATTTTTGTTGTGACAAAAATGATGAACTGTTTAAGTACATTCCTGTTAAGTACATCCCTGTGCAACACGTGACAATCTTGTCCAGTGCTCGGTAGGTTCAGAGTATTGATAACACTACGATTTTTTGATTGTTAATTTTTATATAATTACCGATTCCTTCGCAATGATTGTACGGAAGCAATGCCAGTTGCCTTTGTATTTGGGATTCCGATAGTCCTGCGTTTGCATGTGTACCTTGATCGTATCCAGAGGGTATCCAACCATAATGCCGGCAGATCCTACAATTAAGTATTTGCGAATACATAAGTAATACGGGTCTTTACATTCGATTTTCTAGGAATTTATACCATGCTTTAATTTCAGAGTTGTAATTTTGGATTGTTTATATTATTTAACTGTTTCGTTATCGATTTCACCTTGTAAATTCATAAATACTCTTCGTTGATATTTGAAAATTACCTCCCAGACATCCTGCGACGAAGTCAAGAGCCATTTTTTTCTTGTTGCGATACCCACGCGTTTTTTCCACTTGTACAGCGACCGCGTATTTTGAAAACTACTACTTCTGTAAGTGTGTTTAACAACTTTTCTGAGTGTATTGACGTACAAGCAAGTTGAAGACCGATTCGTTTCCACAGGTAGAGAAGGTCGATCCATGAAAGATCTTCTCTGGTCCTCTCTGTGTCTTCGTAGTTCTGCCTGCGATACGAATACGAATCAAAGAGATACATTCGAAGAAACTTTTGATGGAACCAACAATTTTGTTGACAGAATTTTTTTACACAAGGTGTGATCAATAGGTTCACGGAATTTGTTTTTATTTGAAGAAATATTTATTTATTCTACACTATTGATGTATATCTTTCAATGAATTCTTCGTCGACTATAACGCGCTTGTGTCAGCGTTGTTTCCAATCCTCAAAACAATTGTGAAACGTACTTTTTGGAATTGCTCTAAGCTCGTTCAATGATTTTGCCTTTGTTTTCTCTCATAGTAGCAACACGTTGTCCTTTCATAGTTCTTTCTTCAACTTGAGAAACATAAAAAGTGGCAGGGGGACAAATCAGGCAAATGTGACGACTGTGGCACCATCATCGCTTTGGTTTTTGCCAAAAATTCATGAATGAGTAGCGAAACGTGGAATTTTTGGGACTTTCACTGTCATCCGTTTATATACCAACTTTTTCTGAAACCTCCTTGCTTAATTCGACAATCAAAGAGAATAATTTTCTGAATTCTATCCATGTCTTCCAGTATATTTTCTACTAGGCAGTCCCTCATGCTTGTCATATTCGACGTTCTTCCGACATCTTTAAAATATTTATAGCAGTCATAAACGCTTAATTTTTTCACGACAAACTCGCCAAATGTCCTTCCTAACACTTCGCACACTTTGCCGCATTTGATTCCATTGTTGACGCAGAATTTCATGCAAGTTCTTTGTTCCGTCACTTTTGCAATTAGGAAATCGCCGAGCTAATCATGCATATTGTGCCAATGTCAGAAAAGATGGACTCACTTGGATGCAAACAGCGTGTGAAATTTAAGAAATTCCGGCAACATTTTGATCACATCTCGAATATTACGGTATTTTCTTTATTAACTAACGAAACTAAAGGGTTGTCAGGTACTTACCAAACGGTGAGTCATCGCTACATCTCCAAAAGTATACTAACAACCGTTTTCATCACCTGTCGTTATGGAACCACGGATTGCTGTTGATTATTCCAATTAATTCGGACGAAAGAAAGATCCCAATATACAGCACTTGACGGATGATACGTATTACTGAGTACGCACTGTTTCGTTCTCAAAGAAATTATTGCGCTTGTATTATAATCGTATTATTGGTATACGATTACAGACATCATCAAGTTATTACGACAGTAACGTTAATAACATTCGCTGGACCTATCGTTGACGAAGAAGCGATGTAAGGGTCATCCGTTGATAAGAGGTCGGTTTTACGTCGTCCAATCAAGTTACTTGGCTGTACATTTGCGTTGATACACGATAAACAGCTGTTCGTCTGCGATTGCGTCGGTAGAATTTTCGTAATTGCGTTGGAAAACGGCAAATGGAAGTGATGCTGAAAGAAATCGCTTTCGCGGATAACCGCTATCTAATAGGAAAACTTTCGCGATCAGAAGAGATGCCGAAGAATATATTAGTATATGAAAAATATTCAAATAATCTTGACTTGTTCGCATGTATCAAAAATATAATATATCTATTTTAAAGTTCAATCTGCCGTAGTTCTACGCAAAGAATGTAATATTTGTTACGTTACAAATTTTACTGTTTCAATTTCGTTATGAACGATTAATTTGTCGAATCGATAACATTTTTTATTTTTCAATTGTAGCCAGCCAATTTTATTTCGAGATTATATCTGTACAGAAGCGTACTTATGTGTGAGCAAATGATAATGACTTTTAGTAGAATCTATTTCTTAAAAATACATTTAATCTACTTTATCTTTACAATGCGTAAAATATTATGAAATATGGAATGACCCATAGATACACCCATAAGCGATGTAGATATTTTTAAATAAATTACATTATACACAAGGTTTCACAAATGTTACAAGCAAATACGATGGTTTAAGAATAATGAAATTAATAGACGCAAGTCATATGAATAACTTAAGATTAATGTATATTTATTTTAGGTATGTCGTTTTACTGCTTTTATAATTTTATTATTTTCCGTTATATTTGTTATTTCTTCTATTAGAGAAGTTGCAAAGCATATAATCTGATGACATATACAACAAATGATCTAGATATATTATTCATTTTTCTGATTATTTAAGTTCTTGATGCGTAATCTAGTTCTTCGAGGAAGAACTTGGTGCTAGAACAAATTCTCATCTGAAAAACAGTTAAAAGACATATTTATTAATGAAGATTTCCTCATTATAGGTTCACGAAAAATATTCTCCGCATATTGGATAAATAGAAATTCACTTTTTATTCACACTCGTTACAACTTTTACCTTCTCAATCCAAGAAGTTACATTTTTAAAAAGTCTCTTTTTTATTCTTGCTTCTGGCTCGTAATTTAGTAAGTAAGCATATTTACTATCATACGTCGTGGTCCCTGATTAAGTAAGTTTTACCAACATATTTCAGCTGAATAAATTACGATGAAAAGCCATCACATTCAGTACCAACGATGTCTTGCTGGAATATTAATAGATGTTTGCTACTTTGTGCGCGTTCTACAGATTAAGCACAACGATGAAAAACTTCTTTATGTAAAATTCAAGCTATTGTCTGTTCCTCAAAAGAAGGTCGTCCACTTTGTTCCTATGATGCAAGTCTGAAGTACATAAGTACAATCTATAAGTATAATTTATAAGTACATTGTATCAGCATAACAGATAAGTATAATGTATAAGTACAGCGTACAAATATAACGTAAAAATACTAATATATAAATATAATGTATGACTATAATGTTTAATTATAATGTATAGCTATAATGTATAAGTATAACGTATAAAAATTTCATTCGTCTTATACATTTGAAAGTGAACGATAATGTTTGTCTCTACACAATATGGTCGACTCGAGAAGATATTAGCATCGACACGCCTTAAAAGTTCGTAATGAATTAAAACTCAGCTCTCGACATATCCATATGTATATTATCTACAAGAAAACAACTAACAGATTGTGCAAGCAACGATGAATACATACTTCTTTGCAGTTATTGGCAGGGACATTTTTTTTAAAGGCCACAGGCGGTATCTCATTAAAACTAACTAACGCGGCACTGCAGAAATCAGTTACATTAAGACACTCAGCTTGTGAAAGTCGTTACAGTTTCGATCACGTTACACCGTCTCACATATTACATCGTTAACCTTGTGAAATGTACGCAAAACCAAAGACGGAAACCATGAAGGAGGACGTTTCGAATATTTCATTGCTTGATATGGTGAGGCGAGACTTATAACAATTTTCACGAAAATGTTCACAGCGGGATTACCTTAGTAATTGCATTGTTAACGTTTCAATATGTTAATAAAAGAGTTAGAAACGTCAATGGTCTTCTCTTGATCTTGGTTTATTTTTCAGACGGTAGTATTATTCGAACAGGTATTTTTTTAATATTCTTATCTAGTAGTTTCTGGTTATTAAACAGATTATTTGCGTAGAACCCCTTTCACTTTAATCTTGAACGATAAATTTATTATTAGGATATTGAGTGATGAAGGCTCAAAGCTAGCACGTACCTCGAAAAAAATGTGATAATTATAAACTATTGCATGATACTACAAATAACTGTAGTGTTGGTTATCGCAAATTAACACGCAGTTTGTAGCATCGAACACTTTAAGTAGATTACAGCTATGTAAATTATGACATGTTTAATTAATTTTTTACGTAGAACAGTAATGTTAAGCAAATATGTTATCATATTAGGAGATACATCGATTTTATGAACGGAAAAGAAAACCATAAAATAGAGCTTAAACGCGAAAATTCAGATATAGGTAAAAAGCAATTCTCAATTCATTCATAAGAAG